GGGTGGGCGTGCTGAGGAGTTTTCCTCCAATCAATGTAGTTAAGGGCACCCTTATTACCTCCCTGCTAAAAGCGATACCTATTTTGTCTACTCACATTTCTGCTTTCAACCTGTTAGGTGGGCAGCTGAGCTGCGGCTAACAGTGGGTGCTCAACCCCGATCCGGACTCGAGCTGCTGACCTTCCGATCAACATAATTTTTCTGCAGCACAGTGGTTTAGCCTGCTATGCTAAGCCCGGCCCCTATATCACCATGATAAAAAGGTGACCTTAAAAGCAGAATTTCCACAAATGAAACAATGCAGATTTGTAAGAAATAAGTCTAAAGCAGTCTTCGTTACATCAATATATTTATTGCCTTACTGGTAAAACAGTTTTATATACAGATATTTACATCTATCAAGCAAAAAACAAACTAACAAAAAGTTTACATTCATCATTAGGCTCATAGCAGCAATTCCTTATTGGAAATAAAAATATATATTCAGGAAGACAAGCAACTTGTACATTCTTTCGATTTGCAAATACTCCAGTAAGTAAAACATGCACTTGCAGCAAACTTAGGATTTCGCCTGGCAATTCCGTATGCAATACCTGTATCATCTCTTGCCTTTTAACATGGAAGGTTAAAAAGCAAATGACTGTTTCATGGCAACCAGGAGTTTGTGTTTTGCTTTTAGTAATGGACTACACTGAGTGAAAACTGTGTCATCCTCCAGATGCTGCTCAATTGCACCTCCTAAAAACTGTGGTCAGCATAGTCAATTGTGAGGAATGTTTTGAGTTGTAGTTCAACAGTATTGAGGGGGGGACAATTCACATTCCTGATTAAGATTATGTTTTAAACTAATCCTCCAAAATCTGCAAATGTTCTCCCCCATTTTAAAAATAAGAATAGACAAGAGAGAAAAATGGGTGCAATAGGTAAGGGAACAGAAGATTCAAAACCAGTTTCATCACAAAATTTAAACCAGTTTTGAGACTGTCAAGTTTGCCTCTGTGGCGGTCCAATTTGAGCTGATATGTCCTAAAGATACATTTTCCTAGATTAATTGGAAGTTTAAAAACTGTAGCATAGACAATGTGCTTACTGACACTTGGGCCTTTGGGATCAGCCTTCTTCACCCTGGTGTAACAGTAAGGTAGATATATTTCTAAAGAATACCAGCAGTGCTGTTGGACAGGTATTTTTGTGATTCTCAGCTTGAAAATCATATTGCAAAGAGAAGATAAAACGATATAACTGCACTTTGCTCTGAAATAGTAAAAATCAAATACAATTGCTAAAGGAGTCTGGAGCACCTTTCAATTATATATATTTTCCTGAGGGAGAACTCCAATCTTTTAAGAAAGGAGAAGGAAGATATGAGATTTTTTTTACACAATCTAATCAAAATATTTTTCTCCATAAAACGAATGCAAGACTGATTTCCCCTCAGCGGAGTCAGCCTAGTTTGTTGTGATGCTAACAAAACCAGAAATATCACAAGCCATTTCTCCTTTCATGACAAGCTTTGTCTCTTGTCAGCTGAAAGCAACAGTTCATTGCAGAGTGACTTTTAAAAAGTTATATACATAAGGAGACTAGTTCACATGCCTCTGCCTTCTATTTTGATGAAGAGCTTCACCAAGGCACTGATGCATCACTAATGATGGACAGAAATATCACTGCATCCATTTTCATCCAGGATAAGGTTTCAGTTGCAAACTCAGGATACAGAAAACATGCTTTAATTACTCTGCTGTGTGGAATGGACAATGAACCATGCTTTCATATATTCATAGTGTAATATACCAGGAAAGACGATCTCTCAACATCTTGAATTGACAGGTTTCCAGAAGCTTGAAAATGTCTTCTATTATAAGACCTCTGTATAGGATGCTCATATAACTATTATCTGCTCCCTTTCATCTAGGTAAACCACATCTTTTCAAGAGTCTCAAACATCTGCATTTATGAGGGGTCCATTCACACTATGGAATTATAGTGTTATCATTCCACTTCAACTGCCATGGTTGCATCCTATGCAATCCTGGGACTGGTAGTTTAGGAAAGGTCTTTAGGATTCTCCTTCTGACCAAATTATAAAACCCAGGATTTCCCAGCATTAAACCATGGCAATTAAAATATAATAAAGGTGCTCTAATTCTGCAGTGTTAATGGACCCAGAGTTATAAACTCTTCCCAAAATGGAACATATTGGCCTCACTTAGTGGTAGAAGGAATGAGTTCAGTATATACACCTTCTCTAGACAAACAAAATGTCACTCGGTAAACAGTAACTGAATCAGACCTCAGTTTAAAATACAGGGATAGGGATTAAAATATTTCACCCTTTACACAGAAGCCTGAAAAACACACCCTTGCCTCAGTACTCTACAGGCAGCCATATTACTGTACTGGATGGTACACATGATATGCTACCACACAGAAGCAACTTTCAGTGGCCCACTGGTAGAAGCTGTGGAATGTATAGTCACCCCAATTTTCACTGACAGACAACCTGACTCCTGAGATTTCCCTCAAAAAATATTTTCTACAGGGAGTAAGGGGAAAAGGCAATAACAAAAAAAAATCCATTTTGCATAGTACATGCTGGAAAGGAAGGTCTTTTCATTTTGAATCCTATATATACCTTATTTTTAAAATCCCTTCTAAAATCTTTCATTATCCATGATTAGAAATGTTTTAACATATCAGTTGAAGATGAACTGACATAACTCCTAAAGAATAAAGCTAGCGGAGAACTAAAGTATTTATCTCTTTCTATGCAGCTACATAACTGTAGCATCTTGTAGCTCAATTCTCTTTCTACAAGGGTTTCTATATTCCACTATGTGTTACTATAGGACATTACTAAGCTTGGAGAATAGGGCTTCTAAATTCCGATAATGCATTTTACAACTATGGAAACATGCAAGAAAACGAAGGGGGTGGGTGGGTTGCATGAGTAATTAGGTTTAGTGCACAAGTTTCCTGAGTTAAATTGTAGGGACTGGAGTTGTGGGGGTGGGGGAAAAATATGGGATAACAGGAAGACAGAAGTACATACGTCTAAATGCATCTTATGCAAGTTGCATTTCATCTCCAAAAAGAACACCTTAATAAATGAGCAAGCACCTTCCATCTAGGGTTTTCAATTTAAAATACCACACACACAAAGTCAAAACTATTCATATCGTTCTAAATATTCAGGATAGAAAGGTCTCTTCAATACTCAGAAACAAGGTTAGAGACATAGAAAATTAATGATACTAGCAGAGCTTGAGAGGATATTCCAGAAAACCCATGCAAAAAAGTAAGCAGTGAAAGACGGATTGCGAGGAGAGACCAAATAATTTGTCAATAAAACAGGCCACCGAGAAAAGAAACAAAACCAAAACCTAAACCAATCAGAGGCAAAACGGCCAATTGACAGGATTTAAGGCATTGCATGGTTCTGAAGCAAAAGGATCTTATTGCAGAAAACAGCACACACTAAAAATGCACAGAAATGTTTTCATCCACACACATTTCTTTAAAGTTAATCATTCTCCCAAAATTAATGAGAGGTTCCTCCAAAAGGGGAACTTAATGATTGGAATAAAGTTCATTCCACATTGCATAGGGAACATGGGATAAGATTTTGGAAGACAAAAAACAGCAGCAACATAGAGAATGAAGCATGAGGTAGTAAGCAAAGGCTAAACTACACCAGGCAGGTTGACTGGCTGTAAATCTGCCCTGAAACAGCCCTATACATGCTGAATCCAGAACTGTTGTCCAGATGACTTTCAATCGCAGCCACCCCGGTGGGCAGTCACCTCTTCTGTGCTGTCACCACTCTTAGCTAGCCATGGAGCTCTATCCAAGCTCAACGGTTCCCTCTGCTGATGTGAGAACAAAGCATCTGTATGGCTAGGAAGAATCAGTAGACCTGATCATGCTGTACAGACTGCCCCAAAGCTCCAGAATATCCTTCAACTTTGCCAAAAATGGGGCAATGCCAGTTTTAAGCAGAAAAAGCAAGATGATCACTGGAGCTACTATGCATCATGGGGACAGACAACAGTCTATTTGTGGTGAATACAGGGTTTTGGACCAGTGTAGACAAACCCCTAGAGAGCAAGGCTTTAACAGAACACAAAGTAGAAAACTGGAAGAGTAAGAATGTTGAACTCAGTCAAATTTGAATTATCTTTAAGGAGCCATGAGTGAAGCAAAAAGATAAAGGCAATTAAATGAGCTGCAGGTCAGGGAAAGAAGGATCATAATAAAGATGAATGCATTTTCTAGTAATTAAAAGCTTTTGAAAAACTGTCTACTGAAGAATAACCATACATAAAGGAAGAACAGAACTAGCTGGTCCAAGAACTGCATTGGTTCTTTGGACCAAAATTTGACAAAAGTCCTAAGTTTCAGAAGAGAGACCTGTGACCTAAGCAAACAAAGAAAAACATTCCCCTGATTTGAAGAGTAAACTCTCGGCACTACAGTTTCAAACACCTACTCTGAAAAGAAGAGAAGAGAGAAAAGACACGAAAAACATGAAACCCTAAGATTCTGTTGTGAACATCTCTTGGTATCAATCGTGCAATGACCTTTCTAGTAAAGACACTAGAGAAGGCCAATGGAAAGAAAAGCAAAAGAAGGCTACTGCAGGGATTAGATATTGTTAATTTCTAATAATTTATCTTAAACAATAAAGTAAATCACTTAGCAAGTTTGGGTATTTTTTCTAAAGTTTGGAAAAGTTACTTTGGGTTTATATGTTCCAGATTCCCACAACTAGCATGACCAGTGGCTAAGGAATTCTAAGGCATGCGGTCTCAAATTTTCCCAAGCTAATAATAAAAAAGCACAGCAAATAATAACCTCAGGCAAGAGAAGATACAATCCAAGAGACAGATTTTCTAAGTAATATCCTCACTTTATGGAAAGCTCTGCCAAACATGACAAATTACACAACAATTTACTTTGTTCTTTATTCTCTTTCAGGTTTGGTTCCACTTATTCACACAACTCTTTTTTGAATTTTCCGTCCCTACCATTTTGAACTGCATTAGGTTTAGAACAGTAACTAATTCCCTGAACCATCCAACATTTAGGATACAACTGAATATTGCATATAGTTCCATCCTTCTGTTTTTAGTTTACACCTTGAAGTGGCAGGCATTTAACCTTTCCCTCCTGTGCCATTTTTTCCAACACCTTCTCTATGCTGCTATCTTCCCCGCTAGGGTTCTCTAGGCTAGGGAGTGTGGGCACAGATAAGAGATAACAGATCTTTTCAAGGAAAGGGTTAAAAAACACCTGCTCCAGCAATGGTCTTTCACTTCAAACCACATTCACAGCACCTACAGGGTTTATAAACCGGACTTTTGGGAAGGCTTTGAAATTTGTGACAGGTCTAAAAAAGAAGCATGATCTTGCTGAGGTGAACTCTTCCAACATTTTCTAAGAGTATGACAAGCCAGCAGTAGTCTCACTTTTGTTTTCAGTGCTACGGGCTGTTATCAGAAATAAAAATGGCAACAGCAAGCCCCTCTGTGTCTCCCCACAATGCATCACATATATGTAATTCCTAAAGAACAAATGGGAGAAAATGGAAGTAAAACACGAAAAGGGCAGACCCAAATCCAGTCATGACTTCTAACTACAGTAAAGACACAATGAACTAACGAAGATTATCTGAGTGTTGAACAAATTCCCAATGGACCCACACTAGTTCGACTGAGGAGATATTTGATCTCCAGAGAAGTCACTCTCCACTTTAGCAATGGGGTAGAGAAATGGCAGAAAGGGAGAGATTGCGCTTAGCTCATAATTTTTAAAAATAATTTAATTACATGCAATGCAACCTCCGTTATTAAAAGACTGCCGGATTATTAGAGAAAAGAAGTAGTAATGAATGAAATGTAATTGATAGTTAATTTTGTGAGTTTTGTCATTCCACAGACTAAAAATGCCTCAGTACAGTACAGGGTTAGTGAACATTTAGTGCATTCCAAGACACATTATAAAGACAAAGTCTAGCGACTGGAGTAGTACACACACTCCATGTAAACAGAGGGCACTATCAGATAGCACCATGACACTTCTTTTGGCAGACAGTTTATACATGTTTATACATATGAATTATAAGAAAATCTTGCAATGTTCCAAAGATTAAATGGAGGAATAGCACTGTTTTTTTAATGATTGCTGTGCATGCTTTCCAAGAGTTTAGACTCTAAAACATGCTTCTCAGAAACAATCCAAGCAGCCTAGAGACATGTCATTCAAGACCTAGAAATACAAATGAATTATCTACAGTTGGCATCAAATACTAGGAAGTCACCATCTCAAAACTACTTAGGCAATGTTATAGCAATGCCCAGCTATACACTGTCAGTTCTTAGTTAAAGCAAGTTATATACACCACTTAAGCTCAACCACTATGCTACACAAATGGACTGGAAATGAGGGGACTATGAGATAATGGACTGCAATTTCTGGATTGTTTCAACATAGACCAAGACATGCTCCAGTTAGAAAAGCTATGTATTTATCTACATTCAATCTTCGCTGGTGGTAGGAGGAGGAGATCCAGAGGAAATTGGCTAACAATACAGGTTTCATATCAATATTAAGGGGGTGGGAGGCCTTTGACAGCAAACAAACTGGAGAAAGCGTCTAACCCCTATTACTGAATAGACTACTTTCTTATATTTCAAATCACATTTTAGTCAAGTGATAACTTTGGACATGAAAATGCACAACAGCTCAGTTTTGGAGTACTGTGTTCTGCGTAGGTATGCATGCTAATAGGAGGGATGTGGACTGAAACAAGTTCATACCTAAAGTCATTATTTCTTTCACAAGCTCTTCATTCTCTTACCATGTATTTTATTTAATGAATGCTGTCCCATTGAAGATTAAAGCACCAAAGTCAATGACAAATTCTATTTTTATAGTCACAGTATTTATCATATACTTGGGACCATGTAGTCTAGAGACACATGTCTCATATTCAAGTTTTGAAAGGTGCAGATACCACTGAATTGTTCGAGTCTTAGGACATCTGCTTCCTTGAAGGCGGTGATGTTCTCTGCCAATGTCTAGTCCAAATAAAGTATTCACTGGTTCAACATGCTTTTGACCTCTGAAATTCATCACTACTACTCCCTTCTGGTCAAAAGAAGGGAAAACAATTATAGTGCCATATTATTTCACAAGGTAGCACTTAACTGTCATCACTATTCATGTTACAGCATGAGTAAGGTCAATGAGATCAATGTGCAAGATGAACAAGCAAGACATTCTCCCCTCGAATAAAAATCTGGTTAATGTGCCGCCTGAACACTTGCTGATAATCTATTCTGGGCCTCTGTTTTTTCCGTGAACGAGCCCTTGGGCCACTTGCGCCCTTACCCTCTGTTTGGGGCATCCTGGCAGCTCGGTCAATCTCCTTCCCAGAGGTTCGGGGCAAACTTGAGCTCCGTGTCCTCTCTCTACTGGAGTGTCTCTTTGTTCCATGCTCTTCTGATCTTGCCCAACTTGATTCAGGTTTCCGCCCAAGTGTCCTAGAACTACATGGAAGAGTTGGTAGATCTGAAGTCATCTTTGAATCAGTTTCTTTTTTCAATAAGGACTCTTGCAGATTGAGTCTGTCAAATAGCTGCAAGGAAACAATAGGGAAGGGAGAAAACACAAATGTCATTAAGTCCCAGCTATTGAAGAGGGATTTGCAACTACTTCTCATTGAGGGATGGCCCTCCCTTATTAATTCAGGAAAATGTAGTTACAAACTTCTCTTTAGATCTTCATGTTCTGTGATGCTGTTAAATCTGTGGGGAAATCCAAATGTGAGGATAAACCATCAAAGTAGCCCTTTCCACATATTCAGTCGAACACACAAACAAGACTTATATCAGAACTGCATAAGAGAAAGACTGAAACAGGGCCCTGGATCTATTTTTCTCCTGCTCTATTTGTCTAACCAACATTGCAAAAAGAAAAAAAGGAAAGCCTTAAAGCTTGTAATGGTTCATGATGAAAACTGGTTTTGAATCATATACATTTTGAATCATATACAGCCAAGTTTTCCCCCAATGGCTCTTTGTGTCCTGTGTGAAACTGTGCTTTTAGATAGAAATGAACTTTAGTAAGTTTGAATCAGTCAGTGAACAGGCAGAATTGTTACTTACTCTGGTGAGGGTTAACTGTGGTTCAACATAGAAAGCTTTACCCAGTACAGGTTTTCGGTATGTCTCGTCTACATCTGTCAGGGCCTAGATGACAAGTAATAAGACAAAAAGTCAGAAAGTAGCATATAATATTTTTGTAATACATCATTTGGGACCTGTGCAGAAAACAACAGGAATTAGTATTACTGGTTTAAGCATATATAAATAAATTCAGGATAAAGATGGTAAATAAAATAAAATAAAATAGTTACTCTGGTTAGAAAGGCTAACTTTCAGTGAGTTGAGTGAAGTGTATTATTTGAACTGACGAGTTCCCGGAACAACTGTATGTGTTAAATGTTTTTAAAATGTTTATTTATGTTTCATTTTATAGTTGGTTTTATTTTTATTTGTATGGTTGATTTGTATTGTTTTTAAAATGTTGTGAGCTGCTTTGGGAAGAAAAGTGGAATATAAATAAAGATTTATTATTATAATATGGTAATTAATCCTTGTTGTCAATGAGAGAGAGCTTCAAAACATAAAAAGGAGGGATAGAACAACTTTTATTTGCTTCTTGAATTGTTTATTTTAAGAATATGTTGCCAAAGGAGGGGTTTCTCTGCAGAGAAATAATTTGGACTTCTTCTCAAATCAGCAGCTAACATGAATACTGTACATCATACTTTAATAAAGCAGTGAGACCAGGGCTGGGTTTACACCAGACAAAATACTCTGAACTAGTATCTTATGGAGCTGCCCCAGATATGTTAAGGGAGCATCCCAAAGCCATTTTATCATCTGGATAGTTGGTTGGCAGTCAGTGCACTGGCATCAGTGCCCTGCAGCCTCTGTTTTACTAGCCAAAAGCAGCTCCCTCACAAAGCTTTGCTGGCGACATCACTTATAATGATGTCACAACAGGACATTCAGCCGTTGGATCACCCAGAAGCAATAATACCAGCAAGGCTCTCCCAGGGAGCTCATTCTGGCTGGTGAAACAGTACTCCATCTTTCTGATGTATGGACACTGAATTGCCACAGATACAGCCTGAGCCATCTGTCCACCTATCAAACATCAGAAGTCACTCTGGAGTATCCTGGAAATTCTGGAGTAACCTATAGTTCTTCTTGTGACAGATTAATGGCTGGAAGCCGTGCTTCTGCTGAGAAACTGGCTGTTCATCCTATGGACTGTTTGCAGTGGGCTTCAGGTGAGTACATTTTATTTGGGAGACATCAGCACTTCCAAAATCATAGAACTGGAAGAGGTCACAAGGGACATCCAGTCCCTTCTGATCTCTGCCGTGTAAAAATACACAAAAGTTTCACTTACTTTTGCTGAGATATAATTGTAGTTACTTCATGTTCACTATCTTACTCCTTACACTATTTTATCAGTTCAACTTGAAGTTGAGAAAAATCTGATTTTATACGACTAACATTATGTTCTATGAAAGGACTAATCTAAGTTTGTGGACAAAACTTATCACATTTTGTCCTAACTACTTGACCTTCTGACTGCAAAACAATAAATTGTGTAAAAGAAAACAAATATTAACTGTGCATTGATTGGTTGTCTAATCTGACCACTTGCGTTTGTCAGTACTGGTCTCTTCAGACTAACTAGAAATCTGTATGCTATAATTTAGCTCATCTATGATTTGGTACAGTAAAGCTCAGATAACTATGGATAAATATATTATAATTTTTTTTCCAGGAATGTTTCCTTCTCACAACTCTTGGAATGGCAATTTGCCTCATAAATAGTTTGCATGCTCCCCCTGCTTTGCTGTTTTTTTTAAAAAAATAATATATTTTTCAAAAACAGAATCTCTATCCAATCCTGCCATGATTTTATCTGTTCCTTTTCTTTTTTGTTAATGTTTCTTTTTGGCAATCTATGGAGAATCCCAGGGGTAGAAACATAGCCCAGTTGCCCATCAAATCCACTACAGCTGCGTACCCTATTTCATAGTATCTCCAACCAGAACCTAAGATACCTTGTTATGGGCTCTTCCTCTCGTTTTTGTCTGGCAGATAAGAGGCTATTGCAGCCTGAGAAGTTCTGAAGATCAGCTACAAAATATAACAACAAAATATAACAACTTCACTGTCCATCTTTCCGCGATTATATCCTGATAAAAAAGTTGGAGTGGGGCTTGGGGGATCAACTTGGTACAAAGGATTATTCCCGTTTGGTGGCAAGATATAACAGGAAATCTTTAAAAAGTATTTCATTTCAGGTATAGAGAAACCGAGTACATTATACATGTATTTAGAGATATTAAGGAGAATATAAGTTTGAATGACTCGAAAACCAGTGCCAGGCAGAAAAAGCAGTTCAATACTTACTTTTATTATGGCCAAAACACATCTCTGCTTTCAGCACCGCACTGAACTTACACTTGCTTTTTTTGTCCCAGATATCAGAAGACTCTCATTGAGTGGTTTGAAAGACCCCAGGCCTTGGTAGCAAGGGTTTTTTTTAACAATTCTCCAATACATTTTGAGCCCTTGATATCCAAATCAAAGCTCTCCAAAATCAATCAATGTAACAAAAATGTGAAAGCCTACCATGATATTTAAAAAGAATCAAATTGTAACTTTCGTCAGCCAATATTTCTTTTTTAAAATGCTATGTTAAAACTGAATATAACTTGTAAAGGCTATTATTTTGCTTTGACAAAGACATCACATATCTCTTGCATAGGAACACAATAGTCTGTGTGGAGAAGTCTAGTTCAGATTAAATCATGAAGACAACCTCAAGGAAAGGAAAATCCCAAATGCAGATATTTTAAAAGGTCACATTACAGAAGGTGGAAGTGATATGTCCTATAAGACAGAAATGAATGCAATCCAACTGAAATATGTCAATTAAACTGAAAAGGTATAACTATATACCTAGTTAAAAATTCTGGCAACTGAACATAGAATGTCTGGACTGTTTGAGACTTTCATATAATTGGTTGTAAAACTACAAAAATTGAGGGGCAATAATTACCATGTTCCAGAACTTGTCAAATGCAACCAAGAAGCCAGTGCAGACTCCACGAAGCCCTTTGAAAGTTCGAATGTGGACATTTACTTTTACACCATCACGGACACAGCGGTGGAGTTCTCCAAGTGGGCTGCCTTCATGAACTGGAAGAAAGATAAACTCCCATTACTTGACACTGAAACACATGTCATGGAGCAAAAAGCGAATCATGAGGGTTCAGCTCCCATGAAGTAACTCTACTGACAGAATTGCTTCACTATGCCCTCAAAATCTGCTCCAGGAGAATGGGAAAATCTCCAGAGTAGATTTCAGAGTTACATGGAGGGCTTATGGACAGAGGTAAAAGAATGATATTTCTTGTCGAAGGCTTTCATGGCCGGAATCACTGGGTTGTTGTAGGTTTTTCCGGGCTATATAGCCATGTTCTAGAGGCATTTTCTCCTGACGTTTCGCCTGCATCTATGGCAAGCATCCTCAGAGGTAGTGAGGTCTGTTGGAAGTAGGAAAATGGGTTATATATCTGTGGAATGACCAGGGTGGGACAAAGGAATTTTGTCTGCTGAAATCTGGCTGTCAGTATTAAAAAACTCAAAAATTACAACAGCAAAACAACAGAGAGTAAACAATCAGGCACGTCAAATCACCTCTCAATCAAAAGATTCCCCCCAGGCAAGCCATTAAATGCTAATCAAGGTGGTCAGTTGAAACATTCACACCTAGCTCCAGCAGGCAAAAGTCCTTTGTCCCACCCTGGTCATTCCACAGATATATAAACCCATTTTCCTAGTTCTAACAGACCTCACTACCTCTGAGGATGCTTGCCATAGATGCAGGCGAAACGTCAGGAGAGAATGCCTCTAGAACATGGCCATATAGCCCAAAAAACCTACAACAACCCAATGAAATTTCTTTTTTCTGGTTTGAAGCTGGACTTAAGGGAGTGTTGCACTGACACAGAAACTGTTCTAATTTGGGGGGGGGGGGGCAGAGAACTGCTTATGTTTTGGGGAGCTTAAGAAATAGAATAATGTTTAATATATTTTTCTATTGTTTTTAATAAACCAATTCTTTTTTGTTGTTTAAAAAAGAAAAAGACCTTGCAACATAAGGCCTAATGAGATGGGTCCCATTGAAAAAAGTGCTTAAAAATGCCTGTCTCCTTTAGCGTAGGGTCTTCAGGGGAATTATCCTATGGAAAGTGGTGTCTCAAAAAGGAAACAATACTTGTCTCCTTTAGTGTAGGGGCTTTATGGGAATGGTGTCTTAAAAAAGAAGGATGCCTGTCTTCTTTTTTTAAAAAATGTTTTTATCGAAGACATGGGTAGAATATCACAATCCATCATCATTTCAGAATAAATATCAAATATTGTTTTCTTAATGTTCTTATCCTTACCTATTCCACCTTTACCTCCCACTTGTGTCTATCAATTTTACACTCCTCCCCCCTCCCGCCACCCTCTGAGAATAGTACTTGCCTTCATTCAAATATTATTTTAATTGAACAATCGTAGAAAGAGAATGGCTCAGTTCTTTATATTTTTCTTCAACTTTATCTATCGATCTTTCCCATTTCAGAACCGAATTCTTCTTGATGTGGCATGATGTATATTTGGCTTTTCTTTCAAGGATGTAGTCCTGGAGCATAAAGTCTGCTAGGTATCTGTACCATTTTTAAACTTCCCACTTTCTATGGTCTTTCCACCCCAGGCCACAGTCGCTTGAGCGGCAACTATCATGTATTTTATAATTTTCCCCCAATCTTTGATGTTTTTGTTCTTGTCTAACTTTGGGTGAAAAATATTTTTTTTATTCAAAACCAATTTATGCCCTATTAATTCTTCCATTTCCTTCTTTATCTTATTATAGAATTTTTGTACTCTGTCACATTCTCAATACATATGTATATGGGAGGCAATTTTTCCACATCTGTGCCAACACAATTTTGTGGTTGATTTAGTTATGTGCGCTAATTTATTGGGGTTCTGACCATTTAGTCAGTATTTTTCTTTGTGTTTCTCTAATCCTTATGTACTTGATATTTTTGATGGAATTAATCTAGTGTCCAAGTCTGAATCATTATTATTCAAGTCCTCTTTCCATATTTCTACCAATGTTTGTTTCAAATTATATTGCTTTCTTGTATATGAACTCCAACAGACATTCTCCTTTTCTAATTTCCACTTTAAAATTTGATGAAAATTTGTTTCTGGCCCTTCCTTTTTTCTCCAATTCATGATCCTTTGTTTCAGTCCTTTCCAAAGAAGCCAGCTACATTGACCACATTTGTCCTTTATCGCTTCCCAATCCTTAATTGTCCCATCTGGGTTTACGGGATCTCTTATCAATTTCATTCCATTTTGTTTCAAATTTGTTATCACTTTGCCAAATACCTGTTCCTTTTTATTGTCTAGAAACCCTACTGGGAGTATATCTACTTTATTTATTAGAAATTTACCTTGCCATTTTTTCCAGCATTCCAGGGATGAGATAATTGCCCCCCCCCCTTTAATTTCTTTTAGAGTTTTGTTATCCATCCATCCATCCTTTTAAGCACAAGTAATGGTCCCATCCATTAATTGTTTTTTGTTTTGTTTTTTTCAATTCTGGCCCATCTTCTTCACTCTTCAAAATCTAATTCTATCAATCTTGTTAACTGGCAGGCCTCAAAATAATTTTGTAAATTAGGTGCCCCACATCCTCCATTTCCTTCTGGAGAGTAAACTATTGAATTGGCAATTCTATTTTTATTTGTTCCTGCTATCCAAGTTTTTATTGATTTGTCCCATTTCTTTATTATTCTGCTGGGAATACTATATGGGAAAACTTGGGACAGGAATAGAGTTTGGGGGGAATCATCATTTTGTCAATCTTAATTTTGCTTGACATATCCCAATTTCAATTTTTCCAATTGCGCATTTGATTGTTTACTTTTTTCCATAAATTGTTATAGTTTGATTGAGTTATGTTATTTACATTTTTGAGAATATAAACCCCTAAATATTTTAACTTCTTCTCCCCTAATTTTATCCCCGTGATGGGTCTGTATTTCTTTTAGTTCTTTCAGAGTCAGATTTTTATGTAATATTTCTGAATTTTATATGTTAATAGCCAACCCTCGAATTCTCGAATTTCTTTATGGTGTTAATAACTTATTTTATAGAGTCCTCCGGTGACCCCATTAAAACCATGGCATCATCCACAAATAAATTAATTTTAATTACAGGATGTCTGTCTTCTTTAGCATAGGGGCTTACAGGGGAACAACCCCATGGAAAGTGATTGTTGTGGTTCAGCCAGAGGCTGAAGATAAGAGGATGGCTCTGACACAGGTTGTGAGGAATGGTGGGCTTTCCAGTGTGGGAAATGAGGGAATTTTGGATTATGATTTTTACATTGTGTTTTGATATTTGCTTTCTTCAATAAACTGTTAAGTTAGTAATAACGGACTCTTGTGTGGTGCTGGGTGCAACAGGCCAGATTGTAATAGCGATGTCTTGAAAGGAAAGGATACCTGTCTCCTTTAGGGTAGTGGCTTCCAGGGGAACAACCCCATGGAAAGTGGTGTCTCAAAAAACAAACAAACCTGTTTTTAAAAGTGTGCTGGCATCCTTGAAATGGTTGCACTTGAAAGGGGAGAAGGCAATCCTGTGGGATGTGTGGGTGAGTAGATTTTCTGTCTTATTTAAAGAGGGAACTCCATGAAATGCCACACCAAATAAATAAATAAATGATTCCACTCGATTCCCCCCCCTCCCTCCTTTGTGGGATGAAGTCTTCAGTTATATTTCTTTTTTTATATGTTGACTCCTTAATTTTGTGTGTGCTAACCTAATGGCCTGGTAGTGATTTTTTTCAGTAAGGAAGAGCACTTCAAAAGCACTGAATGTAGTTGTCACCTTTTTATTGATCATATCTTGTACAGTTCACCACAAACAGTGGGTTAGCTATTTTTCCCAAAAGTTTTTTTTAAAAAAACCTGTGTAATGTGTCTCTCATTAAAAACTATTATGCTCAGCTCTGCAGGTTAACTACTATTTTCTGTGGCTTTAGACATCATGCTCTTATCATCAATAATCAATGCAGCCTATGTGGATATAATTAGCTATTCTACAGTTAGATATTGGTACAAACCACATCCTTAATACTTCTATTCTAAAAGGATTATCAAAAGGCTATCTCAGGAACTGTCACTAAACAAGAGCTAATGTTTAGGGCAGACAGATGTCACCTGAGTAATAAAATACCCTGTCAGCAGAGATTATCTGATTTAATCTATTCTGTATAGAATAATCTTCTATACCTGTAATTTATAACCGCAGACTATAAACAAAAATAACAATCACTTGCCTTGATGAAACTGTAACACTGGCATTACAGAATAAAATATACACCATTGTCTTGTCACTATTGAAAGAGCTGCTCTGCTTCAGTATCTAATGATTCTACTTTCTGAACAAATTTCTTTTCTAAAATTAGGATGCTTGATGACAGGGAAAGGATTTTTCCAGTGACAGCACCTATCTTGTGAACCTCTCTAGATGTTTCAGACACATTCTCTTTTAAACACAGAAAAGGTATGTTCCCTTTTCTAGTTCTTTAAACGTACTCACTTTCTGTTTTTTTTATTCTTCTGATACAGGCAGTCCCCGAGTTACAAATATCTGACTTATGTATTTACAAATGGTGGTGAGACAACAGAAAGTGAGAGGAAATCTACCCCTGGAAAAGTAAATTAACTCCTATATCATGGGGGGAAGGTATTTATCACAATCCTTGCTTCCAAGACAATCCAATCCAATCTTTCAAAATCCAATTATCAGAGTCAGAAAGTAAGGTGAAATCTTCTGAACAGAGGCACAAACCGCAAAACAAATGTTACAAAGGTGTTAACCCTTCCCTATGCTATCCAAAACGTAAAAAGTTTGGTTGGAGTTACATTTTAATATGTATCTGTTCCAAATTACATACAAATTCAATTTAAGAATGAATCTACAGAATTTATCTTGTTCACAATATAGGAACCATCTGTACAGGTAAACCTCAGTTTACAAAGCATCTGAAAAAAGGCTATTTTCTACTAAGTCTTTTATGTCTATTCAGCCCCTTCCTTTTTTTGTCCTTGTCCTCTGTCTAGTCAATTGTT